GTTTCCTCCAGTGTTCTTTACATCTATTGCTAGCCTCGCGGTACCTAGCCTAGGTGTCAATTGACGAAGACGCACGGTAGGGCCTCCAGCACCTAGGAAGCTTCTGGAGCAGATGCGTGCCCGTGGTATCTATTCACGGTGGCCACGCACATGTCTCTTTTCACCCCGCAGGCGGGATGTAGGGAGCGGACACTTCTGTGAGATAAGACAACCTTATCCCAGGCCGCCTGAACCGTATCGGCCTCCGAGATTCCGTAACGCAACCCAGAAGCCTTGGTATGTATTGCCTGATAGTTAACACGTACTATTTTTGGACCTGGCGCAGCGATGCTCTGATGAGGTCTGGTCAGAGCACAGCTGATAAACAGACATGAGCACTGGCACATAAGCGAGAGAGCTGTAAGTGATATCACCTACGAAGTCGTGTGACTTGCAAAAATTAGGTCCAAATTAGACGGCATTGGGCATCCATGTACCTAGTGCGGTCTACGAACTGATGCAACGGCACTTGTAGCTTAAGCTCGAGAATGGCTGTACCCAACTACATTCTGTCGAGTTGCAAGAAGGATTTGCCCAGCAAAAGGTTGGTAGGTTGAATTCCCCCAGTATCAAATACCTATTTACGTATTGGGAGCGAATATAGTCAACCACTTCTTTAGACGTACTCTCAGGGATTCTATACACAAGTACAACTGCAATTTGAGCCGAGAACGTACTAATCACTACCGGTAAAACATTGACAGTTTTACGTATGGACTGAAACCTATAGGTAAACAAAGGTTCAAGTCCACAATTAACGTAATGCTCAACGCCGCTGTCTTGTCGGCCAACGAAAATACCACATCTAAATAATGCGTAGCCAGGCAGATGTATTTCATCGTGCGTGGTGGCCTGAGACAGCCACGTTTCAGTGAATGCGAGTACCTCGGGATGAGAAGCAACCACAACTTCAAGCGGGTGTGGAACGATAGGATTATCCCGTGAGTGTTCTTTCTTCAGCGGGTCGTTGAACCAGAAGTTGGCTGACTTTGCAATGCTGATGGACCTAAAACAACCACCGCATCACGCCCTGTACAACCAATTAACGCTCACGTACCCTGTCCTAGAAGTCCCTGCTAAGCAGTTACTTAAAGTAACAAATAGAAAAAGTAACCGCAGAAGGAAAGAAATAGAAAGTGGAAAAAGCTAAGCACGTAAAATACCGATATTTGACTCATCAATAAAAGAACCGAAAAGTGAAGGTGAGTCAGTTAGGAAAAAGGATAGGTTTGGTGTTGCCAGCCAAGAGCATCGAACTGTCGTACAAAACCTTTAACCGTAGATTCCCTAACCACGTGATCAGGAAGCAAATTCCAGCGATCTATAACTCGGCTTGACATACGTGGTTCCGTCCTTCTCTTATCAAGCCGTGTTTTATACAGTTTCAGTACGTGACCGCGGCAAGTAGGTAACTTAGCGGGACTAATTAACCCTGAAGAGTCCGGACCGATCTTACCCGTCAAACTACGATAAGTGAGAATCAGGTTTCCTCTTATCCTTCGGTAGTGCATGGAGTACATACCCAACATTAAGTCAGCGTACGGGGTACCTCCATCTCTATAGACTCTGTATTAACCGAGTGCCCACCCGTAATATTTCCCCAAGTTCATTTTATCTCGGTTAAGACATGGTGGACAAGGCTGCGTACGATGTTCCAGGTGGGGTCGGACGAATGCCGAGAATTGCTTCACAGACCAATTGGCCGTTAGAATTACGAAAGAGCGGCGGAACGACCAAATTATACCAAACCCCCGACAAACAGCCTGCTTCCAATTGTCGCCGAAATGAACTGCTGATGAGTGTACAACCCCTAAATCAACCTACTGAGTGCCAACCGGGAGTTCACCACCGCCGACCATACCTAGGGTGGGAGGATTGGCAGCTTCTGTTGGAAGAGCAGTCCTTTTGACCCTATTTATGAGCATTAAGCACATTGGAACATTGTATTTAATGGGAATAAAAGCTCGAGCTTTACAGGCCCCATAAGGTAAAAGGAGCTCGGGTCGGGCCTGATAAAAGGACAAGCAAACTTATACCTGGTTGGCCTTGCGTGTTAGCCGTAGCTTCACCGGGCTTATGCGGCATTTAAACAGAAGGCACGCCAGCTCAATCCATGACTTCCCACTACGTCCTCCGAAACGGCTATGGAAAGGAATTAAGTGGAAGAAAAAAGGAAACCAACTATCAAGTAGAAGGTAGTTATATCACAGAACCTCCAGGTGTAGCTCGGCCAGAGGTTAAAATCCGCTAAAGTGAATGCCAAGACTAAAGCGGCAGGCAGAACATTTCGCGGTCGACAGATTCGCACTGCAAAGTAGTGTCGTCAGCAGTTCAGTCGACTGTGCTGATGCGTAATCCTAAGTGGGATACTCACAATATTCCAGAGTTTAAGCTCCTCAGCAAACATAAGTGATGGAACTCATAGCTTCCATGGCAAGTTATTTACATAGATCAAAAACTAAGATGGCCCAAACATCGAGCCCTGCGGGTCGCCCCTAAAGACGGATTGCCTGAGCGAAAGGATTTGCCCCACCAGTACGCACTGTTCCCTCCCTCAAGGAAGGCAGACACCCTTTTAAGGGCGCGACTAGACATACCGTAAGACCTCAACTTTAGTGAGAGTCGAAGGTGAGGAACAGTGTCAAAAGCTTTCGGAAAGTCTACGAATAGCACGGCTACAGCGTGGCCATTGTCTACCGCTTCGGCCAACTTTTCACAAACTACAAGTAAATAAGTCTGACATGAAAATCCCTTGCGGAATAAAGGTTGCGCAACACTGAGAACGTTGAATCTATTCAGGTGGTTCTCCACTGATTCCCTTATTAGCTTTTCAAACAACCTAACTACCACGCTTGTTTAACTGACCGAGCGGCAGTTCGCGGGCAGAGCACTGTCAACGCCATGAAAAACCAGACCGATGATGCCTCCTTCCGTTTTGCAGGTAGGACGCAACTGTCAAGCGATATGGAAAACATACATGCGCGAGGACCACTTAACTCAGTGGGGAATTCCTGCGACAGCTTCGGATAAATTGAAGCAGGACCGGAAGCTTTAGAGGGATTAAGGCCTTGCAGTAGTTCAAAGACCTGAGCCTCCCTAATGTTAAACTCATCGAAGCAAGAAGCCCCTGGAACTCATGAAAACAACTGAACCTGTGGTACAACGATCGCTCGAGCAAAGACCACAGTGTACTGAGCCCTATGTATAAAAGCCTTATCATAGTCATTTTGCGCACGGGTCCCTTCTGCTAGCAATAGTGCTCCTATAGACAGCTTTGCGTTGCTGCGTCTTTTAACCTAAGCAAGACACTTCTTGGGATCAGCTGCGGCCCTGCAGACCCATCTTGAACATCTTATTCCCTAGGCTGCACACATTGCTTAGCACTATCTGAAGGTACTCGTAATATCCAGCCCTCTGTCGCGGGCTACTAGGACTGGCACTGGTAGCCCGGCTGACCAACCGAAAACCCACCAACAAGGGACCTTGTTCAGCGGCAGCTCGCGTGGTTTTTAGGTTCTTACTGGCCGTTTGTAGCTTCAGCCTCTCCGCCAGCGGGTGGTCTGGCTGTACGCTAAAATCAATACCCTTCAGTATGAAGGCAAACCGCAACAGCGCGTTGCGTTCCTCCGGGGTGGAAAGGACTACACGAAATGCGCGCGGTCGAGAGTTTGGAGAGTTAACTTGGATGTTACCCAATGTACTCGGTTTCCTGACAGCAAGGCCGGGAAACCCAGGCGGAAGAAGCCTTGTTACGCACAGCTTTAACCACGGTAGGTCGTCCAACGTACATTCGACAGGGGGCCGCAGAGGATTTCACTGCGTTACGGAATATCACGCTGCTATCAGTGAAAGAATCACGTCGACGGGTTGTATTCACGTCACGAGTTTTGGAATGTAGATGAACAGAAGCCGGCTTAGCTGCAGGTAACGAGACTGGGCGCACCTAAACAGACGAAGCTGAAACAACGGAAGCGTACGTCTTAGGCTCCAGCAAGCTTCCAATAATCGCTGGGTGTAATAGCATTATCATCGGCCCAAGTTTCCTTGAAGCACATTGAACTAGCCAATGGTCATAGTTTGTGTATCGTGTTTAAGCACACACGGCGCTCCACGATATTTCTGCTAAAGTACCCATTAGTATGCCATGCCCGAAATTACACTTACCGCGCCTGGACCAGTACCGAAGCAAATGGTCATGGATTCTAGTATTGAAAACCATCAGTGCATGCAATAGCACCTACCGCTTCCCACGGGTGGCATCATGCTTGGAATGTGCGCGGCGCAAATTCACATACTCGTACTGGAAACTTTCAGGCCGCGGCTGCACAAACCTATACTTGAAAAACTGCATGACGTTGCGAACTCCTTAGTAATCACCGCATCCTCCACTTCTGCAACGCTTTCGTAGCCAGCATCAACCATACAGCAAGATATAGCATCGTCATCCAATATGACGAGCTTGGACCAATTAGTCTTAGTCGCTTGATTGCGATTTCAAACAATGCGCAATTTGGGTGAAATGCATGCCTATTTTATTCGACTGCAATCGATTCCTTTTAAAGTCAGCATTCCATATCAATGTAATTAAACCTTATCTACGCGATGACCATCATTTCGGCTGGCGTACCCAAACGCAACGCCTCCGTGAGGCTAATTGTTCTAGCACAAATTAGCTACTCCCAAACCAGTGATTAAAAAATCAAACAGTTTAATTTTACTTTTAATTTAACAAAGCTACCTAGCACGAGCTCAGCAGTTATTTCGTTAGTTTTTGCATAATTCAATGGCTAAAGGCAGTGGAAAAATTGTCCAACCGTAACTGACCTGACCTGTTATAAGCGTACACTCTCCTCAAAGCTTTCCTGCAAATACCTAATATAGCGAAAGGTTTTGCACGTGCAAAATAGGGTGATCTACAAGGTATAAAACACTAAACGTTTGTTTATACCCTTAAGATTTAAATGAATTATGGCAAACCCTGCGGGGAATATTTAGAATCCATGTGCTTCAGCAGGAGGTAGCTGGGATCTAACCAATGGCGCAGATTTTCTTATGCGCCAAGGTAAAATGGAACAGCAGGTATTAAGAGGACAATCGCAAGGTGTTGCTTAGTAAGATTTCAAGAATAAACAGAAATGCACTGCATTTGTTTATAAAGTGCTGCAATAATGTAACGTTTGTAATAACATAGTTTACCGTAACCACGGTAACGTATCCCCGAAAATTCCAAAGAGGTATAGCGGGACCGTCCTATCCGCCACTGGCGCGATTTTAAATGGGGTCAGATGTTCATTAGGACAACCGGTTTCTGCGCTCTCAAAAGGTAAGGGTTTTATTGGGTAACCTTCTTGCGCAAGTGTTTGTAAAGAGGTCAGTACCTCCAAACATCCAAAAACTGATATGTACCATTCCCAATTTACAAAGTTGAAAAAAAGTGGAACAGTTGAAATATAACGTTAAGGGAGTTGTTAAAAAGAAACGGAATATAGAAACTGGTTTAAGGAAGTTGGCGGTATGTATTTCAACAAGCATCCTACATCATTACTGAAGATTACTATGAGTTCATTGGCCTAAAATTTATCTCCTACCACCTACAACCCTGTGTATCGGAATCACACTGCCGAAAGAACACTATTTCCGAGTGGCGGATAGGACGCTCCGGGTAATTGCAGCGAAACACTGATACTTCAAGGGCTTATTAAACAGTGAAATATCTTAGTCGTCTAGTAAACGTAAGTCTATCTCAAGTATCCTATGTATGAAAATGTGCTGAAACTTTATGGGAAACGTATAGTTAGCCTTATTTCGCATTCTGTGCTGTAATTGTTCGTTGGAGGATGAATTCTTAGGAAATATCATTTACTGCAACGGGGAAATCAGGGAATCTGCAATGTATATTACATGAAACCATCCAGAAATATTAATAAATATGGTTGGCTGTTGAATGTTAACTGGTAAATTAGATCGGGAAGCCATTTGGTTTTTAAATATGCAACTAAATGGAGGAACTTATACAATCCGTATGAGCAGTAAACAGAACTAGCTCATGATCGGCATAAATTAGCAGCTGAAAAAGTGACACGTGTAATGTGAACTCAAAAGTGGTGTACAGTTATGCACTGTATTAAGGTATCAGCAAATTAATGACGCGGAATTCAGTTGAAATTAAGAATGTGTCGGCTCTTCAGTAGGCATGTTGGGAAAAAACAGTGCAATCAGAATGCAGAATAGAAATAGCCTGATATATAACGCATAAACGTAAGGGTATAACTAATGATGTGAAAATGCAGGTAAAATATAAATACCAGATGTTCCAGGTAGTATGGATATATGTATATCCTCTAAATGATATATATATATATATATATATATATATATATATAAGAAGGCATTTTACTTTCATTGATTGTCAGCACTAAGGCATAACAACAGGCCATACGCATACTTGTTGCCACATGCACTAGTGTAGGACTAGTCAATACTAGTCCGAGACGATGCGCGGAATTAAGCGCGGATATCAGAAGGCAATTGGAGTCGGACACAGCGGACTGTATTCGATGGGCTACAACAATAAGCGGACGGATGAAGCGAGGCAAGAGCGTACACGTGAGCGCGGGGACTTACAAGGCAGTTGTGTGTCGAGCCGGTTGTAAGATTAAAACAAGAAGGAGTAATGTACAATCGGTCAACAAGTAAATTGTACACGAAAGATAAGAGTTATCTTTTTGGGCGCTACAGAGCTCCCCCCCTAGAAGGCTGAACATAGAAAGCCTTCGAAATCGAAAAGGATGTTGAAACCAGGTTCGTAAGGCGAAATCGTGCCGAGTAAAAATGGGCGTGCGTTCGTGTAAATGGGGGTTCGTCGGAAGTCGGAGTCCGCTGTGCCGTTTATGATTTGTTATTTATTGAATGCAGGGCAGGGTGCATTTCGGCGAGCCGTTGGAGCGGGCTTGTCGGACTACAAAAAAACTGGCTAGCCCAGAAAAAGGCCGACAGGACCTCAACCTCCGCTGCTGCCAAACGGTGCGCTTGGGAGTGGTCTCTCCCCCCGCCGCACCCCGCCCCGCGCCAAAACGACCCTCGTCCCACGAAGAAAACGACCATGGTCCCACGGAGAAGCGACCCTCGTCTCGCGGAGAAGCGATCCTCGTCCCGCGGAGAAGCGACCCTCGTCTCGCGGAGAAGCGATCCTCGTCCCGCGAAGAAGCGATCCTCGTCCCGCGGAGAAGCGATCCTCATCCCGCGGAGAAGCGACCAGTGTTCGCGTCAGGGTCCGCGAAAACATTCCTCGTGTGGGCCAGTCGATCGAAGGGGAGGGTTGGGGCATGTAAAGACGAGAAAGTAGAAAAACACGCGCAGAAAACGCCAAAAAGAACAAACGAATGAGCTGCGTGTTTAAATATTTTTTGGTTTTTGAATTTTTTTCGAAAAAGGTTTTTCGGGGGTTTTTGATATTTTTGTTTGTTTTCAAAACGTTAGGCGACCAAAAATGGGGCAAATATATACAATATCTACAAAGTTAAAAGTATTTACACTGTACATAGTCGGAGAAGCGAACGGGCTTACGTACCTCCCGACCACGGCGATTGGTCGTGGGAGGCGGCGGACTAGGTTCGGGTGATGTCGGGATTGCTGAAGCTTGCAGACCGTGATCGTGGTCTGGTTGGACTTCACTAGCATGCGGAAAATTGGTACGGTGAGTTGTGACGTCGCACGAGGCACTACTAGAAGTAGGCGAGGTAGTTTCTTCCATAAAGGCGGGTTTCAGACGGTCGATGGTGACGACTTCGTGTCGACCACCGCGGTCAATAGTGTACGCCTTACTCGCACGATGCAGCACCTTGAAGGGTCCTATGTACGGCGACTGAAGAGGCTGTCGAACACCGTCTGCGCGAAGAAGGACGTGTGAACAAGTAGACAGCTTCTCGGGCACGTACACTGGTGTCTTCTGCGATCGTGGAACGGGTGGACGTAACTCACGCATCTGGTGAGCCAATCGATCAGTGTAACTTCCGTAGTCAAAAGTGGAAGTACATGGGGCTGGTGCTACCAGCTGTCCGGGCAACCGCAGCGTGCAACCGTAGACTAGCTGCGCTGGTGTGGCGTCGAAGTCAGTCTTAACCGTGTTTCTTAAGCCTAGGAGAACGAGGGGAAGCGTTTCAGACCATGAAGGATCTGCGTGCGCACGTAGCGCTGCCTTCAACTGGCGGTGAAAACGCTCCACCATGCCGTTAGCGGCCGGATGATACGCCGTCGTCTGGACGTGGCGACAGCCTAAATCCTTAAGCAACGTAGCAAAGGTCGACGAGAAATGTGACCCTCGATCAGTGGTCACGATGGCGGGACAGCCGTATTGAGCTACCCAGCGCTCCATAAAAGCTTTCGCTACCGTTTCCGAGGAGCAATTTGGGATGGGGACGGCCTCAGGCCATCTAGTAAATCGATCGATGCAGGTCAGTAGATATACCGAGCCTTTGGAAGGCGGCAGAGGACCTACGAGGTCGACGTGCACGTGATGAAAGCGTGCGTCTGGCGTCGGAAAAGTGCCTAATGGGCTTCTCGTGTGCTTGTGCACCTTCGCGCGTTGACACGGAAGGCAAGCAGCTGCCCAGGTACGGACGTCCCGATTAACATTGCGCCAAACGAATCGTGCGGTTACGAGTTTAACCGATGCACGAACGCCTGGATGAGACAAGCCGTGCAACGCGTCGAACACGGTCTGCCGAAACTCACGTGGGACGACTGGGCGCGGCGTGCCCAGAGATAGATCGCAGAGTATGGTGCCGTCTGATGATGTCAGCGGAACGGGTCGTATGTCCAATGAGGGAGACCTGCGTAGTAGATCAACCTCAGGGTCGTTGAGTTGCGCTGTGGCCATGGCTGCCAAGTCGATAGCAGTGCCGGCGTCAGCGGAGATAGCTTGAATGCGGGAAAGTGCATCGGCGACGGCGTTGTGCACACCTGAGACATGCCGTATATCGGTCGTAAACTGAGCGATATAGTCAAGGTGGCGCGACTCTCTAGGAGAGTATCGGTCGGTAGTCGAGCCGAGCACGTAAGTCAGGGGTTTGTGGTCGGTGAAGACGACAAAGGAGCGGCCTTCTAGGACGTGTCGAAAGTGACGTATCGCTAGATATACGGCAAGTAGTTCTCTACCGAACGTGCTGTAGCGAGATTCGGTAGGTTGTAGGCGTTTGGAGAAAAACGCTAAGGGCTGCCACGTGTCGGCTACTCGTTGCTGCAAAACAGCGCCGACTGCGACGTCCGAGGCGTCAGTACTAAGGGACAGTGGGGCGGTCGGATCGTGATGCGCTATGGAAGCTATGTTGGCGATAGCCTCTTTCAGCGACTTAAAAGCAGCGCGTGCTGCGGTAGGAAATTCGAACGTCTTTAGTTTCCCTCGGAGAAGGTCCGTGAGGGGTTGCATCAGAGAGGCGCAGTTGGGTATAAATCGACGGTAAAAGTTGACCAGGCCATCAAAACGCCTGAGCTGTTTGAAAGAATGAGGCTCGGGGTAGTCGATAATGGCTTGAATTTTATCCTGCAGTGGCACGACGCCTGCAGAAGAGATACGATGGCCCAGGAAATTAACTGAATCGACACCAAACGAACACTTGTCTGCGTTGATCGTCACCCCGTGTTGAGATAAACGATCAAAAAGTGTTCGTACGTGGCGTATGTGCTCTTCTCGTGAAGAGCTGGCGATTAAAATGTCGTCAAGATACGCGTAAGCGAAGTCTAAACCGCGACAAACTTGGTCGATGAAACGCTGAAAAGTTTGCGCGGCGTTCTTTAGGCCAAATGGCATGCGCAGAAACTCGAACAAACCAAATGGAGTCGTCACGGCAGTTTTAGCGATGTCCGCCTCGGCTACCGGAATTTGGTTGTATGCGCGTACCAAGTCGATTTTGCTGAAGATATTTTTACCCGCCAGACTGGCGGTGAGATCCACTATGTGTGGGATCGGATAGCGATCGGGCGTGGTTACCGTATTCAAGGATCGATAGTCGCCGCAAGGACGCCAGTCCCCCACAACCTTCTTCGGGACCATGTGCAGAGGCGACGCCCATGGGCTGTTGGACGGTCTGACGATACCAAGTTGAAGCATGTGGTCAAATTCGGCTCGTGCTGCCCGTAGTTTGTCTGGAGCAAGCCGTCTTGGTCGTGCGCTAACTGGTTGACCGCGCGTAACTATGTGGTGAGCGACCTCTGTCGTGACTGGTGGAAGCTCTGCAGCCGGTCGAACCAGTCGCGGGTATTCGGAGAGGAGGCTCAAGTAGTCGGACGGTGCGTCTGCGATCCGAAATACAGGGCTGATTATCGGGGCATCTGAAAGGACACCATCAACACCTAGTTTCGTACGGTCGTCTAAAAGTCTGTGGCGACCAGCATCAACAAGCAACCCAAAATGTCGGAGGAAGTCGATACCGATAATTGCGAAGGGTACAGACGCAACCATGAAGACCCACTGAAAATCTCGGCGAAGATTGAGGTCTAGGTTCATCATGCGCTGACCGAATGAAGCTATCGGAGAACCGTTGGCCGCACGCAAATTGTACGTAGGCTTCGAGTGCTTGTCGCTAGCGGTCGCTGGGATGACGCTGACTTCCGCTCCTGTGTCGATGAGGAACGTGATGGAAGAACGTCGATCCTTAACGTAAAACAGTCGGTTTGCTTGGTTATTGAGTGATACGTTAGTAGTGCTAGTATGCGGGCTAATCGTTTTCCCTGG